AGGTTAAAAGAATTAAACTTTACGATTTTACCTTTACTTTACCTCTTTTCGATGCACTTCGACCAATAGAGTCTATTGTTCGGACGAAAAATCATAGATGCAAGATACAAAATTATTAATATATGTATAAAAAAAAAGGCGGAGATACATAGCATTTGGTTTGTCAAAATTAGCTCGTTCCTCAGTCTCTTCATTTTAATATTCATAAATTCAACTGAAAACACTCGTTTAATATCAGTTACCTGAAATTATATTTCTACTTTTGAGTAGTTTTTAAGTTTTCTTATTGAAATTTCAAAATATAAGAGCGTTTTTAAACGAATTTGTTTTTTGACCTTCCGGTGGTTTCAAACAAATCCTCTTCCGACCACATAGAAATAAAAGTATGACAAATTGTCTACTCGGATCCCATTGAAAGTGGCCCGCGTTTTTGAGCCACGCTCAGATGAGCAAGGGGCCAGGCATCTGGAACAAATTGGAGGATGAGGAAGTGGAAAAAAATCATATCCCGGAGTACGCATGAAGTAATGAGGATAACGATGCCTTAACGCGTTCCCGGCCGGTGGACACGCGACTGATAAAATCGCTGGCTTACCGAAAAAGGTCACGCGATATCATCGGGCGGGAAAGTGTTAAGAATTTCACCTAATTGAACCGCGATCGCCGGAGCAAATAAAAGCCCAAGGGTTGAATATTAAATAGCCATTTTTACTCGAAAATTGGTGAAATCTGTCGAAACCGTGGAGAACCGAACATCACATGCTCGACAGAACTGGTTAATAAGCCGGAAATCTGACCGTTGAACATTGATTCATTTTTTATCTTTATTCCATTTTTATTGGCTCGAATTTCGTAAACACACATTCACTCACGCTCACTATTCTTGTTATCTCGTTTCAACTATCAGTAATCTACTTTGTAGTATGCAATGTAAAGTATATCACCAATTCCTATTTCAAAAGAAAAAATAGTTTAAAGTATCAATTATGTTTCAACAAAATTCCTTATTTATTTGGAGGTCTGCCTACTCTTGTTTAGACATTTTATCGTGTGATTTGTAGCAGCTGACCGTCAAACCGTTACCGTCAAAAATTAGGATGAGGATGTAATTTGGGATGAAAGGTGCCAGGCTTTGGCAAGGTCTCCATAGGAAATAGAGGGAGGCATTTAATATTATAAGAGGACTTTGGTTTGGAAAGTCTGAATAGAATATAGTAGAGTTTTAGATTACAAGTCAAGAGTGTAGTATAAATTATATTTTGTTCTTTAGCTTTCTAGGCAGCATATCGGTATACAGTCAGCACGGTTTAGCCGGAGTAACCGTTTATCAGATAGTTTGTCATGAATATTAATACAGTTTTAAGATGAATTTTTTCTTTTACCTTATTCTTCATATAGAAAGCCATGATTTAAGTAACCAGAGGTCTTGTTGGAGAAACTGGAAGGGAAGACAAGATCATGGTCTAAAGAGAGGATAGCCACTCATGGGTGAATACAAAGGTTATGCTACTTCGGTGAAGGTACGCAGTGTAGAGGGCATAAAGGAGTGGTGTCATTATACTTCCTTGACGAACGCCTTATGGGTAGAAGTATTATTTTAAGTTTCCACAGTAGGGCCACGTATCATTTCGGGTCAAATGCTGAAAGACACCCGGACAGCACTTCTTTAACTGGTCCAAGGAAAGATTAGAAGCGATGGTATCTACTACGCAGTGGTCTTGTTAACGATGGTCACCAAACTAGTGATCAGGATAAGGTTTACGGGTGTTTGCAGTTTGATAAGGAGCGTCTTGTCGGTCTCTTTTTCAAGGATGGAAAATACGACGATGGACGGTAGGATGTTATGTGATCAGTTGGGTTTTTGGATTTGTTAATCATGGAGATGACGAAAATTCAAAAAATATATATGTTTCGGAGAAATAATATACGAAATGTCGTTTTGCGGGATAAGAGGAAACGATGAAGACATCAAAATATTTTCTGGCCTCTGTGATGATACTATAGTTTGGTAGTTTCCGATGAACATGTCACAAGTATACTACCGACACAACCCTTTATCTTTCAAAAACGTTTAAAATGGATTCTAATAAGAGAAATAGCTCAAAGGCTTAACTGAAGATGGCGAAATGACCATGTAGGTCGGAAATAGCCAATCTGGAAAAATCATAAACTACATTATTTAGTTTCTGAAGATAGGTTTGGTTAAAATAAATTATAACCTCAAATAAAGTAAACAACATAGAAAGAACCGAATTTTGTTACGAAAAGTACGCTCATTTCCAACTTTTTTTAAAGTAGGGTGTTACAACAAATCTCAGAAAACATAACCAAATTTTACAAATGCAGAAGTGTTAAATGAAAAAGATAGACCCTTCATAAATATTAAATAGTTAAAAGAAAGCAAATTTTTTGAGATTGCTGAGGTATGCGGGGTAACGAACCTACAGTTCGGTCGTTTCCGGTCATCCTAATCTGCTTTTTATGTCTATCAGACGCCAAAATACCACTGGCACACCAATTAACCTAGAACTAGTTAAATAAGAAAAACATAAACAGGACCAAAATACTAAGTCGAGCTTGACAGGACAGGGAGGCTAAGTGAACCAGGATGATCAGAAACTACTAAATTAGGATTCCATGCTCTTAGCCAGTATGTTGATCTGCTCATAACCCCTGTGCCCAGAATGTCCGGAACCCAGGCGAGGGCATGACATTATTGTCACCCACTTCCGCAAGGAACCAATTCAACTCCAGACATATTTTGACCTCATGTCTCATGAGTCATGAGGTTAAAACTTCCAGTGCTGCCTGTATCTCAAAGAATATATTCCTAGTATATTTCAAACGGTTTTTATTTCACTGGAATATTTTTAAATTGCCGCAATTTCCGTTTGAAAACCGTAGAGTATCTGCTCAAGTTTGTAGTTAGTCGGATCTATTCCAAGGACTTACGCTCCTATGCCCTCCGTGGATTTTGAACAGTCAGAATTAGCCTTTAGAAGCATTCTGTTGGTCTAACCTTTTTGAACACAAAACCATCACATAATCCTTTTTGAAGTGAATAAATAAATTATCTTTAGGCAGGCCAGCATGACCAGGGGTAATAAAATTTGCAGATTTATTTAACCGATTATTTTGGTCTCCCTAGTCTCACTGTGCTGTTCTTTTAGATTTGCCTCACATAACACAATAATATGAAGATGGTGCATTGCCGAAACGCGTATGAACCAAAGATCAAACTGGTCGAAAATGACCAAGAACTTATTACGTTCTTGGTAGTATTATTTCTATTATTCTGATACAAAAGCAAGTTATAATAATGCAGAAGTTAGAAATTACGTTGGATAGTTGTTTTATAGCATACTACCATTAAGTAGCGAAAATAGTTTATGTTTTAATAATGCATATTGTTCTTTCTCTCTGTCACCAAGACGTCAAATTTTTCCTTAAAGTGGTGACCCTTCAACCGTTGTATAATTTATTGCACATATCTTTTATGTTTTGACCTGGGGGAACAATGAAGCAGATATTTAAAACTTGCTACTTGCTCTTTAACCCTACGATTATAATCCCGAGGTGAAATGTCAACGCTTACGCCATTCTCAGTTCTTATTAACCACGTGGAGGTTTTGAACTCGGATGGGGTCTAAGGCCATGGAAAGGACCTCGGTCGTAATGGATCAATTTTCCTTTAAACTAGTTGTTTTCAAACTTTGTGTCCTTTTCAATGGGGAATATCACAAAATCACAAATGGTCAGTCGTTGTTTGTTCAAGCCGAGACGTCCAGAGATAAAGAGTTTATTTATTTTATTTTTTTTTCGAAAAAAGAAATTTCATAGAAAAAGAGATAAATTTCATCGATTAGTCTTTGATTTAAATTATTTTTCAGTGGTGATTTTTTTTTAATTTATGGGACATGCACCAAAACAAAATTGAACCGAACATGATAATCTCACATTGATCCTAAAGCAATCAAATTTATTTTTCGATTTGAGTTGACAGCCTTAGAATTAAACAAAAAACAGTTCACCTTTCTGAAAATTTCAAAATTACATTAATTGTTTCTTCAACGAAGTTAAAAAATAATAAATATCGGCCCGATCATCCGTCCATCACCTAACTAGATTTTTTTTTTCTACCACTTGAGCTATCGTGACCTCGATCTACTCGGACACCAACTTCCCATCTCAACCCCACCTTTTGAATTTTCCCTCCTTTTTGCCATTTTTCATTTCCTTTTTTATCTCAACTAAAAACCTTAATTAATTGTAACATATTAAGTCAAGCGGACCACGAAATTAGTGAATTTAATGATTAAAAATGAAGTATACTTCACTAAAGCTCTCCGTGGCCATTTCATTTGTCGTCGAGAATCCAACCCGATTTACACTACATTTGAAAAATGGAAAAAAGGAGGGAAAATTCAAAAGGTGGGGTTATCAGCGGACCTATCACCTACCTAGGATCAGAGGCGTATCAAGCCGAAGATCGTGGGTTCGAATCCCGCTCGTGCCATTGACTTTTTTATTTCAACTAAAAACCTTAATTACTTGTAATATATTAAGTGCTCAAGCGGACCACGAAATTAGTGAACTTAATCATAATAATGCTTGTGAATTTTCATGAGTCAAGGTCATTGTAATACTGTCCTATACGAGAATCATGTGTAATTTAATCTTGTTTAGCCATAAAGGCACACAGAAAAAGCCACAATGGATTCAATCTTTAATAGTCCTTCTCGAATCAGATTTTTATTTTTATCTCTCATAACAGTTCCCAAAGCTCAAAAGCCGATTGGTCTTTTGAAGACATAATCTGGAAGGTTTGCATAATTCCATGAAAAATGAACAGTGGGCCAAGGATTTCTTTCTTATCTCCAGTCAACAGCAACCTTATCTTCTGCCACAAATGATCCGACCCCCTTCAACTTCATAAATATTTGTTATCAATGTTGTTTTATTTTAAATAAATGTTCTAATTTTTTATTATTATTTTCCAGGTGAGCCTGCCCCACCATTCCTATTCGGTTTTGGTAATTATTAACATTTTTTAAAATGTAATCGAACTAACCAATGAAAAATAGCCAACTGCCAGCTTGTCAATATATACAAACTTATAATAAATTCATTACCATTAACATAATTTTAAATCATAGTTTTTCCACTTTTAAACTTGATTCAATTAAAAAAAATAGATTTAATATAATTAATAAACAAATGTACATATTAATCTCTGAAGCGTGTTGTCGTGAATTTGCCAATGAGTAGGGTTGAATGAAAACAGTGAATCACGCTGGCACGGCTGAGCCAAGGTTGTCACGAAACCAATTTTCTTGGCTTCCCTTTGCCCAATTGGTCCAGATGCCGATTTGACCCGAAGAATAACAGGTGCTCAGCGTCGATGAAAACACCACGTCGAACGTATTGCCCATTATGTTTAAAATAACCATTAGGAAAAATTCAAAAGGGAATCGTACGATTAATTGACCGAAGAATTACGGCCGATAGTAATTAGTGTGCTTGCTTTAGGAAGTGATTATTAATTTGACTTGAAACGAACCTTTTGACGAATTTTCAAACGGTTCAGTATAAAAAAAGAATTAATATAATGAAAGAGTATTTAATAATCAACTGCTTATCACCCTAAACAGGATAAGGAGTAATAGAAATGATAAATAGTGGGGTGTGTTGTTCAATCTTTTTAGAAAAGATAGTTCCTACTAGCAATTTCAAGCTTATAGATCATCATCAGGTTGAAGGAATTTACAACCACGTCTTTCGAGATGAATTGTAAGAGTAGACTGACTGACTAACTTGACTCTTACAATAAATTCTTTCAAGCTGATGACCTGAACTTTACGGGGCTGATAAGCATTCCAACCTCAATCGAATTCAATCCCTTTAATCCAAAATCCTCTGAACAATAGCCAGCGCCTCTTTCTATGTATCCAATCGCACCATACATAACGACCTAAAGGTCTAGGTACCTAGCAATGTCCCGCTTGTTACCGAGCTAGCTCAATCTCGCTACAAAATGTTCAATTCCAAACTATCCCATCATCCGAACCCTTTCGTTAAAAACCTGTCATCCACTACATTACCTAATAATCCCAACAGAAGACTGTAGCGTCGATGGCGCCACGACAACCTTCACACTTGACATCGGTCCATGTCCATCTCGCTCTTCGTACTGATGTACTAACGGCTACCATCACCGGAAGCTGTTTGTTATTATTGTTATATGTAAATATTATATGTTTTATTTGTTGCTTCTAAGAATGCAGTTGTAAAGAATAAATAAATAAAAAAGCTGATGATGAGCTATAAGCTTGAAATCTGTTGAACTGTGAGTAGGAACAGTCTTTTCAAAAAGATTAGATAAGGAGTAACTTACTAAAGACAATTCTACCACAATTCGGCGTTCTTGATCATTCTAGTAAGACATATTTTTATCACCTGTAATTAAAATAATTTATTTTTTGAAATAAAATTTTGTTTCTTTCTATGTCATTCTTTGTGTTTTCATAGTCAGAAACCAAATAATTTAAATGGAGGTTGTTGGTTATTTTTGTCAACTAAAAACACTAATTATTAATTAATTAAGGTTTTTAGTTGAGATAAAAAAAGTCAATGGCACGAGCGGGATTCGAACCCACAATTTTCGGCTTGATACACCGCTGCTCTACCACTTAAGCTATCGTGACCTCGATCCACACGGACACCAACTTCCCATCTCAACAGCACCTTTTAAATTTTCCCTCCTTTTTGCCATTTTTCAAATGTCGTGTAATCGGATTGGATTCTCAAATACAAAAATGGTAAAAAGGAAGGAAAATTCAAAATGTGGGGTTGAGATGGGAAGTTAGTGTCCGAGTCGATCGAGGTCTCAAGTGGTAGAGCAGCGGCGTATCTAACCGAAGATCGTGGGTTCGAATCCCGCTCGTGCCATTGACTTTTTTATCTCAACTAAAACCTTAATTAATTGTAATATATTAAGTCAAGCGGACCACGAAATTAGTCAATTTACTAATTATTAATTTTAAGCCGTATATTTCAAACGCTATATATACCACCATTCAGACCACGTCCCTTGTCCCACTTCACATTTATAAAAAATTGTTTAATATCCGAAAATATTTATTTTTATTAAAAACTTTTTATGGATAATAAAAATTATGTAGCTTTGAAGAGAGACGAGGACGTGCCCCGAAATGCATACTTTTTGAAATATATGACTTAAAATTAAGGATTTGAACCAAAAAATTGCAAAAATATTGCTTTTTTTCAACAAAATAGAATTTACGAGGTATCTACCATTTTTTATTAAAACTTTAATTTTAATGATCTGCGCGTTGTAATGACTAACAGATTAGATAAAAGACGAAATTGATCAATCCACGAAATTTTATCTATTACTTTATTTAACTTATAATTTTTTAACCAGATATAATATCATCAGACACAAAATAGTTTATTTCAATTTTTTTTTTGTATTTTGATTTTCAATCATTCTAATAGGATAAACCTCGCAATTTTGTTCATTCTGACGGTTTTATCTTTCACTTTTCTCAAATGGATTTAATTCTTATTTTATAATTTATTTTAAATTGGGTTTATTGTTTATATAAACCAAATAAATCATCATAAACTGATCATTTTCATTGTAATTTAGTTGGTTCCCATCTTCTTGGTCCGATTTTTCTCGATACGTTAGGAATTTTTGACCTTTTACAATAGTGTATTTGCCATTAAAGTCGATTCTTCCTAAGTAGCATATATTAGTTGAGGTAATAATTTTTGCTAGAAGGAAATGATTTATTTTACGATGTTAGTTATTTCATCCTTTCCGATCAACCAGATCCCCGGATCATCCGATTTGGGTCTTTCGTACTTTTTTAACTTGTGCTTCTCTTAGTAGGATTTTGTTCTTACTTTGTCAGTGACTTTGTTTGTATTTCTAGTTCATTCAAACAATATATTTCATTATAAACAATCGTTGTTATACGCATTCAGGTTTACATTCGAATTAAAATTGGCTTTTTTTGTCGCTTATATTATTTTACGTTATAGTTTATGTTATCATCCTGACTGCTATATCACGTTAGTTTGAACTTTTAGTCGCTTTCTATTCATACTTGACCTAATAGCATAGTTTTTCCTTTACTTTATAATTGGCTTATAGTTAATTTAAATCATCATAAACTGCTTTGTTTGTTGCAACTTTACTGTCTCCTATAATCTTTGTTCGTCTTCCCTTTCTTGTTTGAACTTTCAGACGCCTTCAACTTGAATTTTCTTTATAAAATTTAGTTATTTCTTTGTCATTTATTTTATTTGACATTAATGTTCGGTTAACATAAGTTTTTTTTAGTCTTTTCCGATCATCCTGGTCCGAGTATCTTCGCTATTTTGGTATTTCAGTTTTTAACTTATCGTTTATTGTATTCTTTTACTGGTATTATGGTTTGTCCAAACTAGATAAATCATAAAAAAATTTTTTAATGAAATTTGGCTGTCTTCAAACATTTTGGTCCGCCTTTCCTCGCTGGTTTGTACTGTAGCGTTTTATAATTTCGTCTATTATATCCTATTGTTTCCTAAACCTCTTTCGGATGATCTGAATAGACTTTGAAATGAAACATTTTTAAATGTTTAATTCATTATTTCAGCCTGTTCTGTCTTTTACACAAAATATTCCATCGAGTTTCTTTTTGCTTTTTTATTTTTGTTGGGTTAGCAAGTTTCATTAAATTTTTTAATGTGTGTTCAAAAACTTTTGCAACACAAATATGTACAAACATTCCAAAGAATAAAATTCTACGTTTATAAAAATTTTTATACACATATCTAGAAATTTGATAAACAGTTTTGTATTCTCCCGTCATTCTGGTTCGTCGATTCCTGTTGGATTTATCTGTTTTTTTCAGTTTTATATAAAGAATGAGAAATTCATAACAGCGGCAAAAAGTACAAAACAGCGAGAACATCCGCACCAGGACATTGGAAACTAAACTCATCAAGTTCATCACCCGGATGATCTCAAGAAAGAATGTTTATTCGTTTAAAATTGTGAAATACTAAAGTTTGTATTTTTTTTTAATTCAAAATGATTTTTTTGGTTTAAATAAAATGTTTAGAGCAATAATTAAAATTCGTAAATATTTCATAAGGGTTCCATTCTTTCCATTTTCTTAGACTTTTGTGACAATAATCTTATCTTTTTTTAATGAAATCATATAGAATTGCATAGAGAAAATTGTTAAAAATACGGAAATGCATTATTACTAGAAGATACATATCTCTAATAACGATATTGCATTTTGTAGAAAAATACACTCTAAAGAGAAACAGACAGATAAGTCCCGAGTGAATTTCACGTCCAATAACTAACAACCAGAACAACCCGGCTGCTTATTATATAGAAATATAATTTCCTGGACGTACTATTCAATTAAAATTATTTTCTATCCGACCTCAACCCAGGTAAAATTACAATTAAAACATACAAGGAAATGAAAAGAATTGTATTGAAAAAAAATGTTATCATCACCAGAGGTCGGTATGAAATTAAATTGAATTGTCCCAAGGCCCGATTGTTGCCCAACGGTGCCGTTATTTAAGACTTGCCCACGAGCGACAAGCGCGAGCCAGCAAATAATAAAGTATCGCTCTCCTTTATTTAAACATAACGAGCCAATTAGGTTCTCTGGTTGTTAATAAGCCGGCCTTAAACACACTATTACGCCTAAAACCAGAACAAAAGGGGAAAATTTGCAGATTGTTTAAGCTGATAACGCGATAAACCATTTTCAGAGCATACAATAACTGAAATACATCTGCTTTCGTAACAATCAGCATTGTCAGAACATAAAGGCCAGATAAAGAGTACAAAGAGGGAAACACGTGGTGAATTAATCCAGAGACAAACGACAACATATTTCATTTATCAAGCCAATTTGCAACAAATGATCATTATCATCTTTAAGGACGATTGTTAGTGTTTTAACAAATTCTTCAGTCAGTAGGGGTATTC